GCCGCGGGTCAGAACTCCAGAGTGGAAACCGCAGCGCTATGCTGAGCTCCTCCCTGAGCCCCCGGAATGGCACCTGGACAGAGCAGTTCTTTCTGCTCCTGAGTCTTGGCGCTGCCCTCTACTTGGGCTACTACTGGGCATGTGTGCCCCAGGTACGGGGTGCGGGTCCAGAGCTCCGGCCGGCGGGTGGGGGCCCTCGGGGCCGGGGCAGCGCCCAGCGGGGAGCTCGAGCCCTCGGTGGGAGCTGGCGAGGTTGAAATTGGACGCCCCGCCCCGCCCCGCCCCGCGCTCCAGCCAGGCTCCGCTTTGCCATTGCCACCTTTTGGAGTCGTTTCTCTGCTGCCGGGACTCCCCGCATCCCCCATGCTCCCCGCTCTAGACTGGCCCTTCAGGCGTCGGAGGGGCGCTGCTCCCTAGGATGTGATCGGACGTTTGGGGAAAGCGGGCGGCAGGCATCCCGAGGCGGCAGGGAGATGGACACACTACGCCTTCCCTTTCCCAGCAGTCGAGCTAAGTTTCTTCTTAGCTGCACTGAGTGAAGGAGCCGGAGCCTGCGGGGCTGTGGCTCACTCCCAACACCACCCCCTCGGACAGCAGGGCCTGCTTCCCTCGGGGCTGGCGGAGGTCCCCTCCTGGCCCAGGATTAATGGATAACTAACTGCCTTGCTCATTCATGCCCTGCTTTAAGTCCTAGGCTCTCCCTGTATAGTGCAGTGAGAAAGTCTGAAGAGGTTGATTTTGATGAACTTGGAGATTATATTCTCATTGAAATTTAGAAAAATACATAATTTACATATCCAGAAAAATCTAAATCTTTTCATCTTCATTAAACTCTGTTCTAAGTAGCTGAGTCTAATAAGAAATGTATTGAATCAAGCCCTTTAAAAAGATCAATAGGAAATTTTAATGTTACCTAGACTTTTCTGTATTTCCAGAGCTTCCACATGGTGTTTTATAAGTCTACCTTAATAAAACAATTTAAAAAGTCCAAACCTCACAATATCCTATAGATCTTACTTTATATGTCTGATTGGAAAGTCACTCATTTCAGACCTTAACTAAACTTTTGTTCCTTTGCTTGCAACAAGCCACACAGAAGTCAGAGACCTCTGCTACTTCATTCTCCAAACCCTTCCTTGACCTTCTATTATACTAGTAAAAATGCAGGAAAAGTGCCATTCCAGAGGCCCTGAAGACATGGCATTTGGATTGCCCAGCATGAATCAGACTGGTATTGATTCATCCACAGTGACCAATGACATATTACTATTTAATTCTCAGGAATGAGTCAAGAAATATTTCACTGTAGTTAAAATGAAACTGACCCACATAAATCAAACCTGTGACCTAATTTATTAGGACCTTATTCTACACTACTGAGCTCTTTGACCAAGGATTTAATAGATATCTCAAAATCTTGGTGATTAGGAGGTAATACAGTACAGTTACTAGGAGCACAAGCTCTAGAGTTGGACAGACTTGGCAGCTTCCCCAACTAGCTTTAGCAAGCAAGCTTCATGACCTTTGGCAAGAGGGATCCCATTACTTATTTCCAGAGCTGTTGTGAAAATCACAGGATATAATCAACACAATGCTTGGAACATAATGAGCACTCAACAAATTTTACCTACTAGTTAGTATTAGTGGTAATATAACTATTATTGTTTTGCCTCATTTACTGTGTGATTTTGAGAAACAAGTTAATCTTGAGTCATAGTTTCTTCACTTATAAAATGTCCTATCTCATAAGGTTGGGCTTTAGCCTAGTTAGTGCCTGCATATTGCACACAATGAATCACAGGTGTTACTACTCCAGGGCTAAGGACCAGGGTACAAGTCACATCTCAGCACAGTCACACTACCAACCTGGCCTCTCTAGTTCATAATTTACCTAACCCCCTTTGAGTACCAAGACTGCAGGAGAGATAGGAATCTGGTCCTCAGGTTCCTTAGGGCCTGCGACAGAAATACAACTTCTATTTCTTGAGTCTGAGGTCTTTTGGCTTTGTATGGGCTACTCCTCCTTCATAAGCCTTCCATATGGCTAGTTCTTCTCATTCACTTGGTCTATCCAGAACCAAGCAGACAGGTTGTGAGTCAGGGCAGACTGCCCACTCACCTCATGTCCCTGTTATCCCATACGTTACCTTCTCCCTGGCTGGCATGAAGGAAGAGAAAATCTATTCACATGGGACTATTCCGCCTTTAGAGTATGGCCTAACAGCAGGGAAAATGAGGCGCTGTGGTAGGAAGAAGCCCTTGAGCAGTGAGCACGCAGTAGGGAAATGGAATATGCAACATGGGGTGCTCATATTAGAGGAGCCAGGGCAGCCAGAGCTAGTTTTAGGAAGATGACAGTGGAAAATTCAACTGCAAAGCAAAGGTCACAGGTTGAACAGTGCTGCATTTCCTCAGCCTGTCTGGGATCCCAACCCTTCCTACAGGGGAGTAGCTGGGCAATTTATATTACCTGCTCTCTCCAAAATGAGGTTGGGGTTAGGTGGGGGAGTCAGCACCCAGTCAGCTGCAGCAGCTCCTAGCCTGGTTCGGAGTGGGTGCAGGGTCAGTTCTGGAGAGGTGACACTCCACTCCAGGACTGCAGTTCTTCAGGCCTCTAGCTGGACTATACTAATGGAGGCGACTTGGCCATTCCAGACTGAGGCATGCTAGACTTCTCATGCCTACCCGAAGTAGTGCCATACAGGCTGGCCTCTGGAGGGGTCACTCTGGCATTGAGCACCCTCACTGGCTTGGCACAAAAACCAGGGGAGTGAGGCGGACTGTATTGTGTGATTACAGAGGCCTCACCTAGTGGCTGGGTCCCGGTTTCTGGCCTTCCTGGAGCAGTACTGTCCAATCACTATGGAGACTTTCTACCCTACGTTATGGTGTCTTGAGGGGCGGCTACAAACCATCTTCCGAGTCTTACTGCAGCCTCGGCTTCCAGTCCCTTACCAGAGGTAAGAAGGGACAGAAGGGGTGAACACCAAGCTGCAAGTGTAGGGCAATCCTGTCTGCCTCTTTTAAAATGAAGGTAATCTTTGCCCGTCTACTTCAGTGTTGAGGGTAACAATGAGAGTGGCTATATGGAAGGCTATTTAATTGCACAACCATGAGGTAATAACCTTTTATGTCCCTATTACACCTTATTTTTGCATAATGCATACCCTCAAATGATGCCAATGGGAGTTTTGGCAGGTGGGGCAGGGGTAAACTTCTTGAAGCTCATGGAGTTCCTAATGATCTTTGTGTGCCCTTTTCTCCAAAACCACAGTGAAGTCATCAAAACCCCAGATGGAGGACAGCTCCTGCTAGACTGGGCTGGCCAGCATGACAACAGTCAATACCCTGACCCTGCCACCCAGCCCATTGTATTACTGCTTCCTGGTATTACAGGCAGTAGCCAGGAGACATATATCTTGCACCTTGTTGACCAAGCTTTGAGGGATGGTTATAGGTAAGGATGGGCACAACTCAGAGGAGCTAGGTGGTATCTGACAACTGGTAATAGGGAGGTCAATTCACACTCTTGCTATGGGGAGGTGTTGCTAAATGAAAGGCACCTTTGGACTGGGGTTTTTCTGAAGGCTGCCAAAGGGGAGGGGCTTTTAGGGAGGGTCTGGCTAAGATGCACCTGTGTGCCACAGGGCTGTCGTATTCAATAACCGGGGCTGTCGTGGGGAAGAACTGCTGGTAAGTACCCTCCTTCCTCCTAACAGCTCTTCACCCCACTCCCTTGAAAGATCCTTGGCCCTTCCATTTTTCTGCCTTCTGGCCAGGGCTTCCCTCCCTACCCAGTGATCTGATTTGCCTCAGACCCACAGGACCTTTTGTGCCAGCAATACTGAAGACCTGGAGACAGTCGTGAATCACATAAAGCACCGCTACTCCAAAGCACCATTGCTGGCCGTGGGCATCTCTCTTGGAGGGTAAAGGCTGCATGGGTTTAACCCAAACGCCCAGTCTTCCTTTGTTTCTTTCCTCCATGTCTTCTCCCCATCTACTCTGTCCCAACTCACCAACGCAAACCCTTCTTTCATGGTCACTGGTTTAATCCTGCAGGATAATAGTGCTGAACTACCTGGCACGAAGAGGGCAGGCTGCAGGGTTGGTGGCAGCACTGACTCTATCTGCATGCTGGGATTCCTTTGAGACCACTAGGTCCCTGGAGACCCCACTCAACTCACTGCTCTTTAATCATCGCCTTACTGCTGGGCTCTGCCAAGTTGTGAACAGGTAGGGTCTTGGCAAGTGGGAGGGGGCAGCAGACAGGGTAGGATGGCAGACATGCCAGGTTCTCCCAGTGCTCGCATCAGTTCTGTATCTGGGCTTTTTCACTCGTGAAATAATACAGAGGCTGGGGCTCTGGGTCAGGTCCAGGAATACAGCCAAACCTGTGCTCTCTTTTGCAGAAACAGAAAGGTGATGGAAAAGGCAATCAATATAGACTTTGTGCTACAGGTAGTCTTTCAGCCATGCCCCCTCCACCCAACTGTTCTTCCATTATCTTATTTCCTATCCTTATCCTGGCCCATCCCACCCTCCACCACCCACAGGCCCGCACAATCCGCCAATTTGATGAGCGCTACACAGCTGTGACCTTTGGATATAAAGACTGTGTTGCCTACTACCAGGCAGCAAGCCCAGGAACCAAAGTCGATGCCATCCAGACACCTGTGCTATGCCTCAATGCAGCTGACGACCCCTTCTCCCCAGTCCATGGTGAGCACCCTGAATCTTGATGCTTTAGGCCCCAAGGACAATGGGCCATGTGGTGCAAGTGGAGGGAGCCCGGGTCTCAGTAAAGGCCTAGGCTCCTGACATCCTTTCCAACCCCTCCTCTAGCCCTTCCACTACAGGCTGCCCGACAATCTCCCCATGTGGCACTGCTCGTCACAGCCCAGGGTGGCCACATTGGCTTCCTGGAAGGGCTGCTCCCCTGGCAGCACTGCTACATGAGCCGCCTCTTCCATCAGTATGCCAAAGCCATCTTTCAGCACCCAGCAGAGCTGCTCAGCCTCAGGGCTCTCTCACCTTAAGGGAGGCAAGAGCTGACAACAGTGCCATTGAGGGTCTCCGTTCAGTCTTCCCTTCTTTATTAAATATCAACTTTTCCTGTCAAACGGGCTGAGGTTCATTTTTCCTTTTCTCGAGACTAGGGTAGACCACCTAGGAACTTAACTGCATATTTAGCCAGGCTGGCTTAGAGCTACCCAGCTGAACCCACAGATTACTGCCTGGGACTTCCTTTTGCCTCTTCCTTCCCAAGGCTGGTGCTTGCCCCAGCAAATGCAAGGGGCTCATGTGAAGAGCAATGGCCACAGGTTGTGAGGGGAGGAGAAATGGATTGCTTGTGCAGGAGGACAGCAGTGACTCAATTCTGGGGCATCTTCACATTTCTGGAGAAAGGATAAGCTCAACTCTGGAGCCTCTAGTAGACAAAGAAAAAGAGGCAGGTGGTGTGGCCTAGGCTGTAGACACCACTGTCCTGGGTGGATCCAAAGATGATGAATGCAAGGTTCCCAGAACTCAGTCACATAAGGCCACATCCAAACTTGAACTGGGAAGGGCAGACAGCTCAAGTCTCATCAGAGGCCACCTTGCTGCGGACCCAGGTAGAGGTGAAGTGAACGCTGGGGTCCAGGCTCCCACTCTGGTCCAGAAGGTGACAGAGTCCCAGACTCGACTCCCTGGCAGCAGGAGGCTAAAGAAAACCTGGAAAGGCACTCTGGAGCAGCAGGATGGTCATAACAATAAGCCCGACGCATAGCAGCAGCAGCAGCCACATAGGAACACTCCCTGCAGGGGAGGATAAGGGAAGAGGTCAGTGGGCAAAGGGGCTTCACAGACCAAAAAACAGAACCCTCAACGGACTCCATTCAAGGAGAGGACAGATGGCTATAAACAAGCAGCCCATTCTCCAGGAGGCAAATTTTGCTACAGCTAAAGGTTGGGTGGTACTTGCCCACCCCAATGACTCACGTCGTGAGGGTAGTAGGTGCAGCTGGCAACGACTATCCACAGCCACGGAGAACAGGGCAGTTTCATGGGACCCAAGGAGCTCTGGACCACGACCCTTCTCAGGTAGAAAGGCCACATCCGTCACTACAATGCCATGGGCTTCTCTCACATAGTAGAGGCGCTGGGAATAGGGAGAGCAAGTGAATGGAAGCATTCCTCTGGGACACATGTCCCCTGCCCCCAGAAGGTTTTCCCTCTACAGGCTGGGCAGACTCCTAGCTGCACTCAGGGCAGAAGCAGGCCTAGAGCCCCCACCCCAAAGAGCCCTCAGGGCTGTGTCCACCTCTACCCCATTACCTGGAGAGAGAAAGCTATGTAGATGGCAACAGATCCAGTGACTGTGCCCAGGCCTAGGAAGGTGCCCGATTCACTGCAACAAACAATAAATGTTCATTGTCCAGGAGGCCTGTGCAACAACATTCATTCACTAACAACAGTCCTCAGAAACTCAGGTAGGACTCTTTCTGGAGCTCCCCCAGCCACCCTCACACCCAGCCAAGCCAGTACTGTCTCAGACCTAACAGTAAGGCAGGAGATGACTTCATGGCCACAGGATTTGGTCCGAAGAGGCAAGAAGGTAGAGCCATCCCAGGCTGTGAGGTAGCAGGGTGGGGGCTGGCGCAGACGCTTGTGGGGAATCTGCACTGTGAAGAGTCGTAGCCCAGAAGGCTGGTCTGGAACCTGCCCAAACCTGAGGGCCGGGAGAGAGGCTATTCATCTCCTGGGGCCTGCTTAGTCCTCCTCAAGAGTTTGTATCCTCCTTCACCCTGGTCAGGCCTGAGGTAATACCTGCCACAGCTACGATCCTCCCCGGCTTCCCCCAAGTCTTTTCCCACTTCCCTACCACATCTAGGTTGAGCCTCTTTTAGCCACCCTCCAGGATCTTCACACCTGCAGGCTTGGTAGCGGTAAGGCGTGTTAGAAAAGGTGGGTCCATTCTCTTGCCAGTGCAGCTGTGTCACCAGCTGATCCTTCTGCCACACGAAGGCTTTAAGGTCCCAGCCCACAGTCACCAGCTGGTCAGGAATCAAGATTCCAAGGAGGGAGAGTTAGGAGATCCACTTACAGAACAAGCAGTGTAACCACCTACTTTGTCCACCCTCTCACCTGCTCACCTTGCCATCAGGCCCCAAAGCCAGGTCCTCAATCTCCCCTTCGTGGGCTTTGAACTCCAGCACTTTCTCTAGGCTGGGTACCTGCAGCCAAACCACCATCATGGTTAGCCCAGGTACCCAGCAAGAATGCAATGATCTCCACCCTCTTCTAATGGCCACTCAGCCGACTTCACTCACAAGCTCCCAGAACCCATGTTTGGTTTCTCACAATTCTGGCCTTGCTGCTACCGACATGCATCCTCCCTAAGCCCCTAAACCATACCTTCCAGACACGAACATAGCCATCTGTCCCTCCAGTGGCAAGCAGGGTATTATCGTGGTTGTAGCATACAACTTTCTGCAGTGGATCAGGGCTGAAGTCTGTCTGCACTGCCTGCAAATTCTCTACTATCAGTTCTACCCCCTCCTGGTGAGTTTCAGCTCCAGATTTCTTCTCTGTTGGGGCCGCCCCCTTTCTTTGTCGAGGCCCCTGCTCCTTGGAACCTGCAATACAAACAGCCCACCAGGTTCCAGGCTTCCATAGTAAGTAATACTGGCCCCCATTCTACGTGGCTGGTGAACATCCAGCTTCCTGCCTGCTACCATAACCTCACTTCCAGCCCCACTTTTTCAGAGACCAAGATGAGCCCTATCTTACTCATTTAATCCTTTCCCAAAAGTTAGAGAGCTGGCTTCTCACCTGCCTTCTCTGCCTTGTTTTTGCCCTTCTGCTGGTGGGTCTGGAAGCGCAGGAGCTGACAGTGGGCATCCTGTCCTGCAGCAAGGATGTTACCTGCCAGCGCCAAGTTCATAGTAGCTCGTGTCTCTGTATCATGGGAGTGTAGCAAGGAGGCGCTCAGGCGCCCGTTAATCTGCTCTAGCTGCAGAAAATGCTGTGGGAGAGCGAGCCAGGATGAGCAAGGTTCAGGGGTGCCCAGAATTTACCTCAAGAGCAAACTTGCATCCTATGTCTAATACCCTAACCTTTTGCTCACCGCACTTCCTAGTGCACAAAGCTTTCTCCAACCTCAACCCCCACGCCCTTTTTTTGAACCTCACAAATCTGTACAGCAGGCAGGGTTGGGATCATTACCTCTAGTTTACAGAGCAGTAGAGCGACGCTTAGAACAGTTAAGAAAACCTAACCTAAGGGCCAAATGCAGCACTGTCGCTGCTGTTGGACGACAGTCTATGTGGCCTCCCCGGAATAGGCCAGGATAAGACCCCCGGAGCTGCTCCTGACGCGGAGCTGAAGCGCCTAAGCAGCGATGTGTATACAATTTTCACTTTACCTTAGGCGTCTCTCAATAGCCGTGATTAAGTTCTTTGCTGAAATTCCCGTCGGGATGCCCAGCTTGCCGGGGATTTCCACTGGGTAGGGGCTGGGTCCGAAGCTGGGGTGCGGCCCGCCCCCGCCCCCCTCCCGGAATCGCCCTCAGCCCGTGGTGCGACCCGGCCGGAGTGGCCCTGCGCTCTTACCACTCCGTTCTTTATGCCCGTCTTGGCGGCGCCTCCTCCGCCCGCAGCGATGAGCAGCCCCGTGCTGGGGTCCACCTGAAGCGCGTACAACGGGAACGGGGCCCGGTAGAGCTCGGGCGCCCGGCGCCGACCCATCCCGCTCGCCGCAGGCTTCACTGTCCGCACCGCGGCACCCGGGACATGCCGCGCCGGCCCTTCGACGCTTGCCCGGGCCGCTAGTGAACTAGATTCGGTCGCCGCGGGAACGACTCCCGACCCCTCTCACACCCGCGGAGTTGCCCAAACTGCAACCGCAAACAGTACCCCGTACCTCCGCCCGGGCCCTCCCAACCCGCTTTCGCCGACGCTCAGTGCGCAAGCGCACCAGGCCCGCTCTCCTCGCGCAGGCGCAGAGGCGCCAATACGCGTCAGCAATAGCCGGCAGCGCGGCGACCCGGCACCCGCGCCTGGATTCCGTTCTCCGCCCCGTTGTGACGTCAGGCTTCGCCATCTTTTCGCACGGCGGGAGCGGAGCGCCTCGGCTTTGCTGGGAGGTCCAGCATGATTGGGGGCGGGGGAACTAATGAAGGTTAAGGGATATTAATAAACTTTAATAAAAAATCCTGGGCCTGGCCGGGTGTGGCTCAGCGGTTGAGCGTCAACTTAGGATCCCGGAGATCTCGGATTCCCCGGTCAGGGCACGTGCCCGGGTTGCGGGTTCGATCCCCCATCCGGGGCGTGCAGGAGGCATCCGATCAATGACGATTCTCTCATCACTGATGTTTCTATCGCTCTCTCCCTCTCTGAAATCAATATATATTTAAAAAAAAAAAAAAATCCTGGGATTCGGGCTGTACTTTCCAGACTGATCCGCAGACTCTTGCAAGCGCAGCCTTTACATTTTACCCCGGAGAGGAAGTGATTTGTCCCAAGTTCAGCACTGGAAGTGTGACTTGTCTCTTGCCTCTTAATGGAAGCAGTGCGGACTTTAAAACAAACCTGGTTCCAAATCCCGAATCCACCGCTGCCTCGTATTAGGAAATGATTCACCTTAACACCTGTCCATGGTTGGCAGCGGTGGGAGTTGGCCAGTCTCCTGGCTCAGACCCTGCTCCTGTAGGTGGGGGCTGCTCCCCTCTAACATCCTCAGAGCTGGCAGCCCAGCCCCCAGCAGGGCTGATCTCCTCTCTGCCCCACACTCCAGCTTCCTGAGGGGGTCCTTGGGTTTCTGATCTCCAGTGTGAGGTCCCGGTGGTTTTCTTCAAGTGACTGCTAGGAGTGCACTTTCCTGCAAGGACACCGCCTGTTGCTCCCCTGGCCTCATCAGCATGCATCCTTGTTAACCTAAGGTGCACCCAGAGGAAGCGACCCAGTGGCTTCATCTTTTGGAATGCCGTTATCTGTCTCACCAAATTGAATTAAATGTACGAAGGGCCAGCTAGAGCCCTGCACATCTCAGGTGCTCAGGCCCCACACCCTTTCAG